CCCAATGTCGTTTCTGAAATTAGTGCGGAGAGAGTTTACCTCCTTTCTGTGGGCGAACGGTGCCCATAGACTGAACAAGTCCCTACTGGCGCTGCCCAAGTCTAGAGGGGGGATCGGTTTCCCAGACCCCATTCGATATCACCTGGCCGTGCATATGGCCTGTGCATTCGAATGGTGTAACATATCTTCTGACAAACGCTGGCTACAATTTGAACAGGCAGTCTCCCCCTTATCGTTGACGGGACTGCTCTGGACCGCGTCGCCCCTGCCCAGGGAAATACTACAGCACCCACTTACAGGTGTCACGATACGAGTGCTTAATAAGACACCCGCGTTACTCCCAGACAGTACCTCGCACTCTATCATGTCGGCAATTGTGGGTGACCCGGCCTTCACTCCCAGTCTCACCGACGCCTCCTTCATGCGCTTAGTGGAATCTAACCGCTTCCAGATTGGGCATTTCCAACCCATCGAGGATTTCACCAACCTAGACTCGCTTAGGGGCTTGGTCGCTCCTCCACTGCTGCGTTGGCAGGCCCTACAACTCCGCAGCTATCTTTCTAGACTTAATGTGTCCCCACCTCCACGTACAGTACTGACACCATTTGAAGACGTCTGCTTGGCAGGTGGTTACGTGGATCATGGCTTGTCGAAGGCATACGCCCTCACGACACTGCTGGCTGACCAGACTGAACCTAGCTTTTTGGCTAGGTGGACCAGGAACCGGGATACACTTGCACGATTTGTATATATACTCATGCTGCAATGGAGAGAATTCTGTTTTGTATGTTCTTGTACCTCTTTTTGTTATATGCAAAAACTCAAAGTAAAGAGGTAAATAAAGAATTAAAGAATTTTGTCGCGATAAGCAAATTGCTTGTTGCTGAAAAAAGTACATGAGCTTCTTTTTGGCAAATTACAGCTCATTTTGTCCCCATAGAGTCAATAGAAAACTATTGGAAATGTGTGCTTCCATTGGTTGTGTGTATTTTTGCGCATTTACATCAATGTGTCACAATCTGCTCATAAAAACAATCTATTTACTGCACGTGAAACAATGTGCAGCAAAAATTGCTTGTTTCTATGCACGAAAACGCTGTCGCCTAGGTGTGAATCAGGCCTAACAATGTAATTTAATAAGAGATACGGTCAGTGTATGATAGGAGCAGTTAATGCTTCTACATACTGTGGCAGTGCATGGCAATGCCACGTTGTAGTTTGGCAACTTTGGCACCCAGTACTCTCAGCCAGAGGGGCTGAGAGGGTCCAGAATGTAAATGGTTTTATAAAGCTGGCCATGCACCTATAGATTATCTGCAGATTTTCTATGGTCACCCTAAACTGTGTGGATGGAGCAATCTCCCACTGGGCCGAGCACTGGGCTTAGCTGTCAAAATACCTAAACAATCTGATTGCATGCAGGCATTGTTCACATATTTTGACAGCCAGCGAGGCCAACTAGCAAGATACTGAAGCTTGGCCCAGTGGGAGATTCCTCCATCCACACAGTTTAGGGTGACCATAGAAAATCTGCAGATAATCTATAGGTGTATGGCCAGCTGAAGGAAGAAGCTGACTTTTCAGTTTCTTCTGGGTTTTCTGAATTTTAACTGGGATCTGGAGCTCTTGAGATTTCTTAAGGTGCCCATACACTGTGCGATTATCGCACGATAATCGCGGGAAATCCCGCGATCGTACGATAATCGCAAAGTGCATGGAAAGCGTGTGACCGTTTTTACTGTACGGTCGCACGTCTTTTGTCTAAGGAGCATGCTAGAAAACCAGCCGAGAATCGTACGATTTTCGGCTGGTTTTTAGCATGCTCGGGAGACAAATGCTGAACGGGCCGGAGTGGGGCAGGCTTGCGATGATCGCAAGTACGATGGGCAGATCGTACGTTTTTAAATTACTTTACAACCGTCGCAAGACTAAAGGTGCCCATACACTGCTCGATTCTCGTACGACAATCGGGCGAAATCCCACGATCGTACAAGAATCGAGCAGTGTGAACTAAGACGTGCGACCGTTTCTACTGTACGACAGCAAAAAGGCATCATTGCACATTCACAAAACCAGCATGTAAAACAACATGTCTCACCACTAAGGATAATGACAGAGGTTTGGATACACGTCTTCAGCCGAGGATGTGTAAGCCGCACTGCCGCGCCAAGGCACCTCTTATAGTGCGGTCCTAACTCTAAACTATGAGAGTCTCCATCTTGGAGCACATGGGGGCAGAAGATATCAAATTGGGTGCAGGTTTGTCAGGAGGACTCCCAACCTCCTTAAAGGTACAGAAACACACAAGGGATCCCGCACATCCTATTGGCAGCTGAAAAACCCCATGCGTCGCTGCACCAAATCAGTCAAGCAAAACAAACGACAAACGCACTCAACAATTTGTTACCAGTTATACAGTAAGGTGCACACGAAATGGGCTTTGAACAGTAAAACAGCAGAAAGGCATCATGCACACTCACAAAACCAGCATGTAAAACAACATGTCTCACCACTAAGGATAATGACAGAGGTTTGGATACACGTCTTCTGCAAAGGATGTGTAAGCCGCACTGCCGCGCCAAGGCACCTCTTATAGTGCGGTCCTAACTCTAAACTATGAGAGTCTCCATCTTGGAGCACATGGGGCAGAAGATATCAAATTGGGTGCAGGCCTGTCAGGAGGACGCCCCACCTCCTTAAAGGTACAGAAACACACAAGGGATCCCGCACATCCCATTGGCAGCTGAGAAACCCCATGCGTCGCTGCACCAAATCGGTAAAGCAAAACAAACGACAAACGCACTCAACAATTTGTTACCAGTTATACAGTAAGGTGCACACGAAATGGGCTTTGAACAGTAGAACAGTAGAAAGGCATCATGGCACACTCACAAACCAGCATGTAAAACAACTTGTCTCACCACTAAGGACAATGACAGAGGTTTGGATACACGTCTTCTGCAAAGGATGTGTAAGCCGCACTGCCGCGCCAAGGCACCTCTTATAGTGCGGTCCTAACTCTAAACTATGAGAGTCTCCATCTTGGAGCACATGGGGCAGAAGATATCAAATTGGGTGCAGGTTTGTCAGGAGGACGCCCAACCTCCTTAAAGGTACAGAAACACACAAGGGATCCCGCACATCCTATTGGCAGCTGAGAAACCCCATGCGTCGCTGCACCAAATCGGTCAAGCAAAACAAACGACAAACGCACTCAACAATTTGTTACCAGTTATACAGTAAGGTGCACACGAAATGGGCTTTGAACAGTAAAACAGCAGAAAGGCATCATGGCACACTCACAAAACCAGCATGTAAAACAACATGTCTCACCACTAAGGATAATGACAGAGGTTTGGATACACGTCTTCAGCCGAGGATGTGTAAGCCGCACTGCCGCGCCAAGGCACCTCTTATAGTGCGGTCCTAACTCTAAACTATGAGAGTCTCCATCTTGGAGCACATGGGGGCAGAAGATATCAAATTGGGTGCAGGTTTGTCAGGAGGACTCCCAACCTCCTTAAAGGTACAGAAACACACAAGGGATCCCGCACATCCTATTGGCAGCTGAGAAACCCCATGCGTCGCTGCACCAAATCGGTCAAGCAAAACAAACGACAAACGCACTCAACAATTTGTTACCAGTTATACAGTAAGGTGCACACGAAATGGGCTTTGAACAGTAAAACAGCAAAAAGGCATCATGCACACTCACAAAACCAGCATGTAAAACAACATGTCTCACCACTAAGGATAATGACAGAGGTTTGGATACACGTCTTCAGCTGTTTTGCGTTTCTACTGTACGGTCGCACGTCTTTTGTCGAGCCAACATGTTCGAAAACCCGCCGAGAATCGTACGATTCTCGGCGGGGTTCTAGCCTGTTCGCCCGATAGCTGCGGAACGGGCCGGTGTGCGCACGCGCACACTGCCCGTTCTGCATTGCCATCATCGGAAGCCCGCCCCTCAGCGGACCAGAACTGAGACCAGAACTCAGTTTATGAAAAAATATACAAATGTTTTGACAATAGCAAATATTAATTGACCCTACACCGCATCAAAAAATCTTCATTAAAAATATGCCTGCATACTGATGTTGGTCTTGGCATATATACCTTTCACTTCTAAACCTTTTAAGAGATAAACATGTGAATCCGCTGCGCAGCTTAAGTAACACAAAATGTGATTGCTAGATCAAGCCACATGAATGTAGCAGTAAAATTATACTGTTTGGATTTTTGACAGTGACAGACTAACATCAATTTAGATACTGTTACTATTCATGGTTCAACAACACTATCATTGCTACCAGTGGATTGTTTCACAGGAACGATTGTCAAATACGTTTTTGGAGTATTATTTTTCTCTAATTTTTGGGATAAAGACGTTTTTCACTTAAGCAATATCGTTGGATTTCAGGAATTTGCAACAAATGTATAGAACCAATCAGGAGTGGTTTGGAAGTGCTGTGTGAATGTGTGTCAGTATGCAGACAATGTTGTCATTTTTTTTGTTGCAGTGTTGGGTTAATTAATTAATAATTGCTATTGTCAATACATTTGTATATTTTTTCATAAACTGAGAGTTCTGGTCTTTTAAGTGACTACTATTTTGGTCATGATATGTTTATGGCCATAGTGTTTGTTTAAAAGGTAAGAAGTACCGCTAATGTTTTTTATTGAGGAAAACGTTAAAGTCCTGGGACTGGGACACTGAGTGAACAGGACAACCTTGAGTCGGTAAGACAATATACCCAATTTGCTGAAGATAAGTGAACTTTACTTTGTGTTATATGCTAAAGTTAAGGCTTAATTTGTGTTTTTCACGTGTGAGATGCCTGAAAAGAAAAATACAGACTTTGGGTTTATGGAAAAGCCCTGTGCAAGTGCTCTGTGACCTCCCCAACATTACAATACACTTTATTTTTGCTGCTCAGTTTTTTTTTTCACTTTTCAAATTTGTCTCTAACACATCCTTTCTTTTTCTTGTCTTGGTGTAGATAGCAAGGTACGTTTGGCAACCTTGGAGCTTGCATGCATCCTCCTGAAGCAGCTTGTTCTGTTTGAAGGCGACTGCATCATAAAGGATATCCATCTAGCATGCCTGGAGGTACAAGTGTTTAGAGGCTTATTTAGTAGTGTGCAGTAAACTGTAGAAAACCATCAAGATTTTTAGTTAAATGCAAGATGAATTCTGATAAACTGCTATAGACTTCTACACTTTGACTTTTGATATGTTTTATATATTAGTTAAATGCTTGTATCCTGACGAGGACTGCTGGTACCAGACTTGGCCATTCAAATACCTTTACTATTGAACAACAAATGTCAGTAACAATACCAGTAACACAGCAGGTTCACACAATTTTCTGGACCAGATCTGGAACGCAGTGCATTGCATTTTGTCACTGTTTTGCAGTGTTTAGATTTTTTTTAGCTTAAAATGGTCTTACAGGTGCGTTCCAGTGTGTTGTATGCGGCTTTATGCGTTCCAGTGCATTTTAGACCAGGCAAAAAAAGACAAGCAGTATTTTCCTGGTCCTGAACAGACTGCGCTGGTGTGAACAGAGGCCAGAAATAGCATAGGGATACATTAGGATGCTTTTTGGGTCCGGAAACAGTCTGAACCCTTAGGCATCGTTCACACCATCCTCAGTATGTTCCAGCCCAATTCTGTCCGGAACGCACTGGATCACATGGCGGTCATGTCAGTTTGTTGTGGAGTGGGAGGGGGCGTGACGGCGCTATTAAGTGAATGGCACCGCAGCCACGCCCTTCCGGCTGCAATGCTATCGGCCGTATGGGAATGCAATGCACATCAATGCCTGCGGTCCGGTCAAAAAAGTAGTGCTTGCAGAATTTTTTTCTGACCGGACTGCAGAAGGGGGCGTGGCAGCGCAGTTAAGTGAATGGCACCGCAGTCACGCCCCCTTCTGCCCCTCAACAAACTGAGCCAGCCGCAATGGGAAGCAGTGCGTTCCGGTCACAATAGGGCCAGAACATACTCAGGATGGTGTGAACGAGGCCTTATGGGGTTGGCCCTACAATGCATGGAATTACTTTTCAGGTTTCAACTAAGTGATTCATTGAGGTTGGGCAAAATATGTCACACATATGTATATTTTGCTTAATTACCTGCATATACTACGCTAAAGCCTGGTTCAAACTGAACTTTTTGTAGCGCTTTTTCTGCCCTAAAAAACACTCAAAAAATCCCATTAATTTCTATGGCCCTGTTCACATCTTAGTGTTTTGTCGCAGTAAGCAAAACGCCTGTCGCTGGAAAAAGTACAGGAGCTTTTTTTTGTGGCATATTACAGTTTGTTTTGGCCCCATAGACTCAATAGGAAACGCTTGAAAATTTCCATTTGCTGTGTTTTTGACCATATTTTTTTAGCATGTAATCTTTTATTGAATATTTTCCAAGACATACAGAACAATCGATAAATTAATAAATGCAGTTGTATCGAAGTAATAATCAACATAAAGCAACAATAGATCACATAGCAACACTTCAATCAATCCATGGGACTCTTGGTAGGGGCCATATCTGAAACAGAATATGACATATCAGGGACTTAGACCATGAAATTGGCAAATTATTCAGGACCAGTATTAGTAGAAGGAGTCAATTGGTGGAACGCTAAAGGACAACTAAAGCCCCCAAAGATCCAGCTATCTTTGAGGTTATATACCATGCAGTGTATTGAAACACTGTCATTACCTCCTTTAGTCGTCCTGGTGGGAATTTAGCCAGGGGGAAGGAGGACCAGGCTGCGAAGAAATTGGCTGTGAGGGGTTGGTTTAGCTGGGCGTCTAATTGGTCTAGTGACAGCAGTTTGTGTAGGAGGTCTTTCAGCGACTTCAGTGTGGGCGGAGCTGGAGTTAACCAGTTTGTTAGTATCGCTTTTTTTGCTGCAATCATATCATGTTCCCACCTAGAAGGATCTCGGTGAGCAGTTGTGGCTGCCGGGATGGCTATGTGAAAGAGGCAGAGGGCCGGGTGCAGGAGTCTGTGAGAGCACGAGATGGAGTTCATGTAAGAGAGGACCGTGGTCCAAAATGTTTGGATGATGGGGCAAGGCCATATTAGATGATCTGGTGAAACAACCTGACACTTGGGGCAGGACGTCAGCCAATCCGGGGGAGGGTTGCTATATTGGATATTAAAGGCTTAATACGTTCTATGAATTAATTTGAATTGGGTTTCCCTCCAGGATTCACTGGTGATGGCTTTCCTAAGGTTAAGCCACCACTGAAGCAGCAGTTGGTCCGCATCCTCCAGCGCGACCTGAAGGAGAGTAGCCCATTTGGTTACCTGTGGTGAGAAGGATTGAGTATGTGTGGGGGGCGAGTAGCATCTTATGGATTGAACTCTGTGGGAGAGCGGCATTTTCTGTGAAGGCGGGGAGAGGAGCCTCTGGAAAGGAGAGGGGATAGGTATTACCCTAGGACATGGCTCAAAATTTCCTGCTCGCATTTGGCGAGTAAAAATAAAGTGAGGGGCGAGTGGAAATTTGGGTCTCCAAGAATGCGGTAGGGTGTAACTTTGAGAAGTGTATTATTGTGTTTTAAGCTGCCCATGCACCTTACAACCATCGCACGACTTTCGTTATGCGATGGTTGTAAGGTCATTAAAATTTAGTATGATCTGCCCATCTTGGACAGGCAGATCGTATTTGCGATCATCGCAAGCCCTGCCCGCTGAAGGGAGGGCTTCCGATGATTGCAGTGCTGAGCGGACAGTGTGTGCTTGCGCACATCTGCCCGTGCGGCATTCGACTTCCGACCACGCCACCAACCCGCCAAAAATCGTACGATGGCAGGTATTCCAGCGTGCTTGGAAGACGAAAGTCGTACAACCTTACAGTAGAACCGGTCACACACTGCCCATACACCTGCCGATTATCGTAAGATAATTGGCAGGTGTATGGACACCTTTAGTGTAAGTGTATATTAGGCCCCATTCACACCTACAGTATATTTCAGATGTAATTAGAGATTCTAATTACTTGCATTTTCCTGCAGCAGGAATCCCTAATCTGCCGTTTACAAGCGGCAACTATCATAAAATAAGAATTATCATAAGATTATTTAAGAGGGTGTGTTTAGGGGCGGACTTAAGCCCGGGGCAGGGTAAGGGTTAGGTGGGGCAACTGGTGGCTAGTAACTCTTGAGGCCTGGCTAGTAGCTCAGGACTTTAAATTTTGATACCTAGGATATGGTAGGTTAGTTTTAATGAATCGTGAAATTTGTGTGTATTGTAGGAAGTGGTTAGGAGATATGTGATGGTCAGTTTGTAATTGTCGAAATTGTTTGCAGCGGCCTTGGGCATCTAGCATGTCTCGGATGTGGGAGATGCCTTTCTTGGTTTTGCCAATCAACAAAAGCTTTAGATTCTCTTCCCTGGGGGAATGCCGGTGAGGAAGTGATGGACATAAGGGGGGACACTACCCCAGGCATCCTAAACATCTTCCGGACCTCCCTCCATGTAATTATAGTGTCTCTAAGGAAAACATTGTTTTTTATGGTCGGAGGTAAGACCCGGATAGGCGTGTGTAAAATGCCTGATAAAGACCAAGGGCTCGCCGCGCTCCGTTCTAGATCGGAATTGGTAAAGTATGAAGTGTTGTGGATCCAATCTCTAACATGTCTGAATAGGCTTGCCAAATTATACATCCTGATATCCGGGATATTTGCCCCAGTAATTTTGGGGGAAGTTGGAGTTTCCGTAGGGCTATTTGTGGGCGTTTACCTCTCCAAATGAACTTGGAGAATGGCAGTATATGCAGAGAGCGGATATCCTTATGCTTGAGCAGGACGGGAATAGTTTGCATAGGGTATAATAAACGTGCAAAGCTTGTCATCCTGATCAGATGACATCTACTCAGGACCGAGAGGGGGCGGTCACGCCAGGAGTGAAGTTCCTGAGTGATCTTGTTGATTAGCGGGTGATAATGTAAATGGTAAAGCTAAGTGGCGTTGCTGGAAATGTGAATACCTAGATATGTTACAGAGTGCTTTTGGACCTTGACCGAGAAGTTTGGAGGCCATGAGGAGGTATCCAGGGGAGTATGAGGGGATGTTAGGAGGAGTTCACTCTTGCTAAAATTGATTTTTAAGCCCGAAAAGGATACAAAGTGGTCAATATGTGCAAGCACCCTGGGCACCTGGCACGAAGGGTCGGAGAGTAGGAGGGCGATATTGTCAGCAAATAAGGCCAGTTTCAAGTCATGGGGGCCGGTCTGGAACCCAGTGAAAAGCGGAGATGAGGCCAATGACCTGGAGAGGGGTTCTAAAGCTAGATTGAACAGTAGGGGGGATAAGTGGCAACCCTGTCTCGTTCCTTTATGTAAAAAAAAAAATGGCTGGGACATATCGGCTGACGTAAGGATGCGAGCTCTAGGGGAAGAGTACATTGTGGAAACAAAATTCAAGAAAACCCCAGCCAAACCCATGCGTTGCATCACCATGGATAGCTATCGCCAGTTGACATTATCGAAAGCCTTCTCCGTATCCAATGTTAATAACGCCAATGGATGTGAGGAAGGCTCAGATAGGCGATGTCCCTCCAAGGCCAGGATAAGTTTCCGCACATTGGCCACCGCAGATCTACCTGTGACAAAGCCCACTTGGTCAGGTGAGATAAGTTTCGGCAGCACGACCGCCAGCCTGTTAGCCAGTATTTTGGAGAGCATTTTGGCGCCCAGTTTAAGAAGAGATATGGGGCGGTAGGACCCCGCCTGAAGCGGGTCTTTGCCTTTCTTCGGTATGAGACGTATGTAAGCGTCCTGGAAGGTGTCTGGGTAGGTTTGGTTGGTTAGTATGTCTTTGTACAGCGCTCCCAATGTGGGGGCTACATCATCAGAAAGGAGATGATAGAATTCGGCCGAGAAACCGTCAGGGCCAGGAGTCTTGGAACGTGGTGAACGGTTAATGACCTCATGATTTCTTGGGAAGATATTGCTTCATTTAGCCTGGCTAGATCTTCAGGGGAGAGTGTTGGTAGGGGTACGGAGTCTAGGAAGGAGGTGCCTGCCGACATATTGCACTCACCCTATGTATATAGGTTGCTATAAAAGGTGCTGAAAATCTTACATACAGAAGATGGATCGGAGTGTATAACCCCATGGTTATCCTGTAGTTGCGATATGTGGGAAGGGGGGCAACGTCCACGAGCAAAATTGGCCAGGAGTTTTCCTGATTTGTTGCCAAATTTAAAGAGTTCCAAGTCTTATGGGGATCTAAGAATGAGGTTGTGTTGGTGCAGCCAATGATCTTGATCTTGAGTGTTGCGTTGTTCGGGGGGAGATCCTGATTCCCAGGAGCGATCTTCCGGTGTGGAAGGGGCTGCATTAAAGTCTCCGCCCATCAATAAGAAAGAGTCCAGTTGCCGTGTAGAAAGATGAGAAAGAAGGGTGTCCAAGAATGGCTGGTTGTCCGAGTTTGGGGCAGCTGCAGGGGCTCCCAAGGCCATACCAACCCAAGATTGCCGCATGCACGGGATGTCCTCAGCTTTGAGATGCGTTTCCTGGAGGAGTGCAATATCAACTTTCAATTTCTTGAGATGGCTTAGGACCTGTTTTCTCTTATTGGGTGATCTCAGTCCCTTAACGTTCCACGTGACACAATTTTCAGGGGGGTCCCCATTGAGGTAAGAGAGACAGATGCGATAAGAATAGCATATTGTTGTGGGCAACAATATTCATACTTTATATGTAACCAGTATAGGTATCCACAATGCAAAGAGCGCGTGGCAGAGAATGCACTACGTGAGTGATCCCCCCGTCCCACCACCTTAATTGACTATATGTGCAGCAGCTTGAGGACGACCTAAGACGGTCAAAAATTTGTATGAAGACATAGGGACAACTGGTAACCAATGTCAGCAGCGGTGAACAGCCAATGCATTTCCCGTGGGCAAATCTGAACCCAGTCTTTTCAGGGAGAATTCAGGCTTTCTTTTTCCTGGGCTGGCTTTTGATCGGGGAGGCAGAGAACTGACAGTCTTGAGACTCAAGGAATCTTTGCGCTTGGGGAGTTGAGGTGAATCGCCACTCCTTCCCATCCTCCGTGGAGAAGTGAAGTGTCGCTGGGTATTGAAGGGCGAATTTGATGCGTTTGCGCACCAGGATCTGACACACCTCATGGAATGATTTCCGCAGCTTTGTGGTCTCCGCAGAGTAGTCAGCAAACAGAAGCAGTTTAAGGCCGTTAACAACAAGATTGTGCTGTGTGTGGTATAGATTAAAGATAGGTCAGAGAAGCGCCGCTACAGCATCGGGTGCCGGAACCGGAAGTCTTTTGCGCGTTTTACATGCATTTTATGTGCGTTTGCTCATTAACAACAATGAGCCACAATCTGCTCAACAAAACACACATTTTAATGTATGCACAAAAATGTGCATAAAAACTCACCTAGGTGTGAACTTCGCCTAAAGGATGCATTAAACATAAATGTGCAGTGCAAATAAAAAAAACTTGCATATGCAAAATAAAAAAATATAGCAAAGGCATAGCATTATATGGTATCCAGGTGATTTATGCACCAAATAATGAAGACTGCAGTGCACACTTCATATTCACTGCTTGTGTCTGTTTGAATGTTCCTCCTACAGTACACGATTTACAGCAGATATAGACATACCACCTGCCACGGCAGAGATAACATTTGCTTGAACTGCAAACCTGAAAAATTATCTCCAGCAAAATATGTGCCAAAATGTTTTAAAGTATGCTTAAAGAAGAACTCCAGGTAAATTGTATTAACCCTTCAGTAGGGCTACCCCTGCACTGCAAGGGTTAAGCGCTCATTTGTGTCTAGGTGGTTAAAAAAAAAGTTAAGGTCCTATACACCTTACAATCATCGGCCGTTTTTTTGCTGCAATCACGTTTTCATCTGAAAATTGGCCAGTTGATGGGAAGTACACAGCCCCAATTACTGTACAACTGGACAACTTTTGTCTTTCAAGCAGGCTAGAAAATTTTCATTGAGTTGGATCGACGGATTATTGGCGTTTTCGTACAACAAAAATCTCAAGATGAAAACTGCACATGCTCAAACGAAAATGTGGTTGTTCAATCGATGAAAATCGGCCAGTTAGTGTTGCTGGCGAGCATAGTCGCAAATTACATTGGTTTGTGTATGATGGGCTGATTGAACGAGGGTGTAATGTTGGGACAAAAAAAGTTGTACAATGATTGTAAGGTGTATGGCCAGCTTTATACTCACTAGACTCTCCGAGCCGGCTTGTTCTAAGACAGGTGTCTTGAGTGCCTCTGCTGCAGCAGTTTAAGCACCCTGGTGTCATTACGCTCTATACAATGTGCAAAGACTGTGTATATACAGGTGAAACTCGAATAATTAGAATATCGTGCAAAAGTTCATTTATTTCACTAATGCAACTTAAAAGGTGAAACTAATATATGAGATAGACTCTAATCAGCTAATTAAGCCATAACACCTGCTAAGGGTTCCTGAACCTTTAAATGGTCTCTCAGTCTGGTTCAGTAGGAATCACAATCATGGGAAAGACTGCTGACCTGACAGTTGTGCAGAAAACCATAATTGACACCCTCCATAAAGAGGGAAGGACACCAAGGAGTCCGTCTGTGCAGCGAAGGAGGAGAGATGCTTCAGTGATAACAGAAGCAGGGAGCATGCTGGAATGGTCTGGTGATATTTTTTATTTTTTTTAGCAGTACCTAAACTAAAATGACAACTTAGCCCCACTGCAAGGGTTAATAAAAATGTGTAACTGCATTCTTCTTTAAGCCCTAACAGAGAACTTATTTTGTCCCTTTTGGTCTGTTAAATATATTATTGAGTGAGAGGATTTAGTTTTATCTGTTTGATAAACATACCGACTTTTGTCATGTGCACTCTGCAATGTTTTCTCAAACAGTATTATCAAGAAGTATATTGGGTCTACAGAGCACCTCCCCCTATTTAATGGAAAGGGGGAGGTGTTCTGTAGCTCTAACACACTTCTCTCCTAGGGTGACAACACTCCTCCTATGGGGCAAATACATTACAGTGAGTGAGCATTGTCACCCTAGGACTGGAAGTTTGTTACACGCAGGTTTACCAAGTGAAAATAAAGGAAAAAAGTCATAAATGAGGAAACTAATACAGCCACCACACCTTAAGGATGGTAAGCTACAATATATTACATATTTGGTCTTGGGTTTAAATACGCTATAACACGGTTTTGACTGGTATTTTCTACTTTTCTCAGCTGCAAGATGTTATTTTAATATTTTCATTATTATGCATACCTACTGAATTATCGGGCTGACTAGGGCTGCTTTTTGATATCTCACCCTGTTCTCCATAGTTACATAGTTAGTTTGAATAAAGACACAAGCCCATTGAGTTCAACCTATAGAGAAGAGAAAAAAAGAGAAACCTCCAAAAAAGAGAACCCTACACCCACAGTTGATCCATAATCTAAGAGATCTAGGAGTTTAGTTTTGTTATATGTGTAGATAATCCTACACGTTGGCGTGTCGATTTTGATACCCAGATTGATGTACAAGATTCAGACTGTTGACAGCCAACTTATGTCAGTAATACATTTATTAGTTGTGCTTCCATGCTTTGTATACTACTTGTATCCTAAAATTATGAAAATACAATTTTGTCTTATAGGGCGCAAGAGAAGAGAGTGTACATCTTCTTGGGCATTTCTACAAGGTATGATATTTCTTACTGTTTACTTGGACCTACAGTATTATTACAATTCACACTTCACATGAATAAGTAGAGTAAATGTCAGAATGACCAACTAACATTATAATTTTGAATACAGAAGTACCTCTTGATTGCTGTCAATACATTTTAAAAATGTTGCTCCTGAGCTCCATCATTTGACTTAAAGCCTAAATAGCTAAAATCATGTGGTGTTTCGATTCTAAGAGCATTGCGGGTAGTTCATAACATTAGGGTCTGCAGAATGCTTATTGTTTTCAAATGGAATGTCTGTTAAACATGTTCTTAGATAAGAGGATCAATAAGGCAAACGTATAGAGTCGTAACATGTAAATATAAAGTGTACATATATATATATATATA